CGAAGCTGGTGAAGGGTCTGGAGAACAAGCCTTATGAGGAGCGGCTGAGGGAACTGGGGTTGTTTAGCCTGGAGAGAAGGAGGCTCAGGGGAGACCTTATTGCGCTCTACAACTACCTGAAAGGAGGCTGTAGCGAGGTGGGTGTTGGTCTCTTCTCCCAAGTAACTGGGGAAAAGGGAAGTGGTTGAGTCACCATCCCTGGAGGTATTGAAAAGATGTGTAGATGTGGTGCTTAGGGACATGGTTTAGTGGTGGACTTGGCAGTGCTGGATTAACGGTTGGACTGGATGATCTTAAAGGTCTTTTCCAACCTAAATGATTCTGTGATTCTATGATTCTATAAAAACAAAAATTAAAACACCACCTCCTTCTCCCTCCTCCCCCTCTGCCCTTTCCCCAGGCTCAACTTCACTCCTTCATCCCACCTCCTCTACCTCCCCCCTACCCTGAGCAGCGCAGGAGGATGGGGAGTTGTGGTCAGTACGCAACAGCTCCTCTCTGCTGCTCCTTCCTCCAACAAAAATTAAAACACCACCTCCTTCTCCCTCCTCCCCCTCTGCCCTTTCCCCAGGCTCAACTTCACTCCTTCATCCCACCTCCTCTACCTCCCCCCTACCCTGAGCAGCGCAGGAGGATGGGGAGTTGTGGTCAGTACGCAACAGCTCCTCTCTGCTGCTCCTTCCTCCTCACGCTTTTCCTCTGCTGCAGCATTGGGTCCTCTCCACAGGCTGCAGCCCTTCAGGATACACCTGCCCCAGAGTGGGCTCTCCCTGGGCTGCAGGAAAATCCTCCTCCTTCTCTCACCATGCTGTTCACGCTGCTGTGTTCCACGTTTTTTCCCCTCGCTCCTCTGCTGCATGGCATCTTGCCCTTTCTTAAATATGCTTTCCCAGAGGTGCCACCAGCGTTGCTGAGGGGCTCAGCTCTGCCCTGTGGTGGGCCGCTGCAGAACAGGCTGGAACCGCCTGTCCAACACGGGGCAGCTCCTCACAGAAACCACCCTGCAGCCACGCCGCTGCCAAAGCCTTCACACCTACACCCGAGACACACCTTGCCCCAGTTCACACAGGAATGCAATTACATGTATTTCAGTGAGATGCCTTTTTCCTGATTTGATTTTATTCAATACTTCTGATTATTCAGGCCTCTTCACATCCTGATCTGCAATGCTGCCGTGTTTGGTGCTCCCTGGTGCTTGACGGAGGATGACCTGGAGTCCACCTTCCAGGTGAACCACTTGGGACATTTCTATCTTGTCCAGCTTCTGGAAGACGTTTTACGCCGCTCATCTCCTGCTAGGGTTGTGATAGTGTCCTCTGAGTCACACAGGTTGGTGAACGTTACCTTTGATTTAGCTGAAATCTGCAATCCTTAGGGCATAAAACAGTTATGGCAGAACTGCAAAAGTTTTTGAAAATGAAAGGCCTTGCTCTAAAGCATTTGCATTTGAATAATCTTTTTAAAAATAGAAGCATTACTAATGCCTGTGGATGTTACTGGATTTGGCTCTGTTGCTGGATGAAGTGTGTTCTAGTTTTATAACAGTATGTAGGTATTTTTTGATCATTCTTTGTACAAATGCAGATTTTTGCCGCATTTCAGACCACTCATTGATTTTGCGAGGAGATGGAATAGTAATTGATTAAATCTGAACGACATGACCTATATTGATTTGTCATTCAACAACTTCAACATCTTACCAAGAAGAATGTGCAGTTATTTTAGCAGGAGAAACAATGCAATTAAAAACTGCTAGATGAAATCCAATTGTTTTATAATGAGAAATTAGGGAATTCAATGCAGACATTAGCTGTATAATTGTAAAATGGGAAGTAGTGTAGTTAATACGTATTAGAAACCTGACCATGCCTCTTTTGGTGAATTTTTTAATTAAGATGTTAGACGCTCGTCTCTTCTACTGCCAGGAGAAGTACAGTTGGCAAAAAAGACATTGATGAGGTTTGCCTTATTTCAGGCATACTTGTGGTGTTTGTGTTAATAACTGAAAAGATGGATTTGATTTAAATAAAGTTCCTTATGCAAAATGCATGCCCCAGTTCTGAATTTTAGTGGGCACAAACCACTTACTGCCTTCTGATTTAGTTCAGGGACTGCAGGATTAGACCTATAATGTCTAGCTTTAAACATTACTGTTGATTTCTATTTCACTTTTGGTCATGTGTAACAGCTCTAGCAAACCAAAAGGAAGAATGTGTGAGTGCTTTTTTTTTTTTTTTTCCCCTCCCTCATATTTCTGAAATGTTTTAGTGACCCAGAATGAAGCTTATTTTTTTAATCATGTTTCCATAAAATATAACCCCAGGGACCTGGCAGAGAGAGACCAGCCAAGGGTCAGGCTGAAACCTTTATCACTTCCAAACACAGGGGCTTATGGTATAAATGACACACTGCAGATAGATTTACTTTTACCATTTTAAATTTATGATGGCTGAAATGAAAGGAAGCAATAGAAAATGCCAGTAATAATCCTCCCTGGTGTTAAAAGACATGAAATGTCTAGTAATTAGGTGGTAACAAAATCTGGACATCCTTATCTTTGCAAATCACACCAGGTTTGTGAAAGCAAGTAGCAGAGTCCTGTTAGGAGTGAGGGAGGCTACTGCGGGGCAGGCAAGATAGCTCTAGAAATAAATCTGCCAACTCCAATCACTTGCCAGATGTGGAGGGCACAACGGGATATGTATAAATGAGCTGTTATTTAATGGGAGATTATGTTGAATTGTCAGCTGCTTGTTCCCCTTTGTAAGTTTGTATCTCTGATAGTATTTTAAATGACATCTTTGTTTTTCACTGTATTAAGCGCTACGTGTAACTAGAGCTCAAATCTCTGGACATCTTTGTGTTTTCGAAAACATTTTTTAAAGTGCTCATTGCTAACTCAGTAAGATCAGCCAAGGTTTATAGAAGCCTATCAAAAAATAAGTAACAGTATATGTTTGAATAAAGTAATAAATGCAACTAGTAAATTTCCCTTTTTCTAAGGAGTCCAATTCATGCATTATGGCATATCTTAACACTTAAACTGTTCATTGTAAATAACTGTGCTTTTTCCCCCCAGTCTGTTTAATGGCAAGAAGTTGATGTAAGGAGTTAGTTTAGACATTAGGTATTATTGGGTAGTAGTACTTTCTGACCTACTTGAGAACTCTGAGCCTTAAACTGTGTTGTAAAACAGAAGTGTTGGTATCTAATTACTTCCATAAACTTTGGCTGGATCTTTTCGCTGGAGTCAAGACCCCCTGTTAGGGGAAAGATAAAGTCCCGTGTTTGCAGAAAATATTATACTAGACTGCTCCAAGGCAAAATATTTGTTTGCCTCTCTGGTTCTTCGTTCGTTTCTAGTTACTTCTATGGATTCAGCATAAATGAAAATTCTGTTTAAATTAAGCTTTTGGATACTTCAAGCACATCATATTAAAATCAGAATAATAAGTAGGTTGACTTTCCTCTGTCTTTATTTCTGTGTTGTTAATTTGATTGTACAGCCCTTATCCTACTGAATTCAATGAGATTGCCGACATAAGTACGATTGACTCACATAAGCACACTTGCAGGACTGGCTCAAAATATGCCACCGTGTTTCCGTTATACAGTATACACAAAGTATTTTATTTATAGATTATTTTTGGTGTCATAAATGATTACTTGAGGAATGAATATAGGAAATTCCTCCCAGAATAGTCCTCTTAATTTCAGAAATGTATTTTATCTGATCGAAAACTATGAAAGAGAAATTTTGTTGTTGAAACTGAAGGGCTAATTCTGCAAGATACAGAACATCCTGGATTCCTCTTGAGTTCAAATACTGTAGTTGCTTTTCTCTGAGTGTATTATAATTCTGCTCACAGAATGAATGTAGAAATTCCAGCTGATCTCTTCATTTCTGGGCATGAGATGCAAAATTAGTAAAGATATTTTAAAACATTTTTCTAGTGTGTACTATAATTATGTTTATCCCTGTACTCCCCAGCTGATTCTGAAAACTCTGAGTATTAAAAAGAGCTTGCTAAATCCTTTTTATTTTTAGTAGCTCTTCTGAATGAAACATAGATCTGTAACTAAATATAGTACTATTTTCTAATATTAAGATGCACCAGTAAATTGATAAATCAAATTGTAAGACTTGGGGGGGAAAATGCTATATGGAAACTTCCTTTTCTTCATCTAAATGTCTTTAGAACATTCACTACTTTGTTATTAAAAAAAAAAAAAAAAGGAAAGAAACAAACAGCTGGTGTTTAATGACTCTGTCAGACCCAATTAAAAAACATCAACTAGTTACTTTGATTTGTGTTCAGCCATGCCTTGGGTATACTTAAAAACATTATACTCTGCCAGAACTCATTTTGGCTTTGTTTACATTTATCTTTTAAACATATAAGCCTATTGATGGCAAGTTACCAAGGTTATAACCCCTTTATATTCATCAATTTTTAATCTAAAAAAGAGTCTAAGAGGCAGTGAGACTCATCCACAGTTACTTGAACACTTAAATGAAAGTGTGCAGTACGTGAACACTGGATGAAATAATCAAGGGAAGGGAAGAAGGGGAAATGAAAGGATGCTGGTTTTCTGTGCTTCTAATGCAGAGTTATTTTATCTTACATTATTTCCTCCAAGTTGATTGTGCTTTCATGGATCTATTGCAAAATCTTTTTTTGGATTTAAAATAAAGTGATTCATAAGTTACATACGATGCCTTTAAATCATTAAAGCCTTTTTGACTTGTTTTTATTTATCATTTGCTTTTGCTAATTATTCAATAATTTTACTGCCATATTATATGGAACTATTCCTTGGGTCTCAGGCAATTTCCAGTAGATGCCTTCAACTGCTAAATAAGCTGGTTTATGTTGGTTCTGGCCAAGTTCTACTCTGTTGTCTACATTTTATGTTCTTCTTAACGAGAGTGAAATTAACTCTGGCGTATCTAAGGCATATTTACTGTTTTTTAGATTTACAGAAATTAAAGACTCCTCTGGAAAACTTGATTTCAGCCTGCTTTCTCCATCTAAGAAGGACTATTGGGCTATGTTGGCCTACAATCGTTCCAAGCTTTGCAATATACTGTTCTCCAACGAGCTGAACCGACGCCTTTCTCCCCATGGGGTGACGTCTAATTCAGTCCATCCTGGAAATATGATTTACTCCTCCATTCATCGTAACTGGTGGGTGTATACCCTGCTGTTTACCTTGGCTCGACCTTTCACCAAATCCATGGTAAGTGAATGACTTACCGTATTTTACACATCTTCATTTTTCAAATCAGGGGAGTAAAGTTATAAAAATCCAGATGTATGTATCTGCTTTGACCTATTGCCTTTTATAACTATGACCCTGATTTTAATGACAAACATCGTGCCAAGGTAGCGCTGTAGAATAGGATTCTTCAGCCATTTTAGCTTAACTTTGTCAATCTTCAGTAAAGCTACCTTGCTAGATGGAGTGCATGACTTCATTGTTTGAATATATGATTTTCACTTGTGATTAAGGTAGTTGTACACCTTAGGTGTGGGATAGTTTAGAGTTATTTCTGTGCTCAGTATACATAAACCATCAAAAAAATTGCTTTGGTTTTTAAGTGGAATATGCTTGACTGCATTTTTTATGTAAACAGATGCCCTAGTTAGAAAAGATACTACAGACATTATCAATGGCTGAGGGAAAGTGCTTTCAGTAGTAAAAGTACCTTCATTCATATTTTAAAAAAAAACAACAACCCAACAATTTTCTGGATTCTTACAAAGCACTGAGGGCAATGGGTGTTTTCCCTTTGTCTCCATTGGACTTTGGACTGGGACCATGACATAATGAAAGGCTACTGAGCTCTTTCATAGCCAACATTGTGAGGTGTCATTATATAAGACTTCGCAGCATCTCCAGGGCTTGGGGGGGTTACTCTTACCCCTTGAACCTCTGACCCAGGTTATTTATAAAGAGTCCAAAGTCTTTTTTTAGGCAGAGGATGACTTTTACTTTATTGAGAAGTGGCTTCCTTTAACCTTATTGACTGTTTCTCATCCCTTATTCACTGACAAAGAAGGGTATTCCCAAAAGGGGGGCAGGGAGAGGGAGTCTCCCTTGAATGTTTGCAGCTACAAATCAGGGAAATGAAAGGATTCATACCCCTGCAGAACTCATCTAGCCATGGCAATTTGTTCAAGCCCAAACCAGGGCCCTTTTACAGAAGACTTCACAACTGACAGGAGCGGTTTTGGTGTAATGTAACTTACTGTCTCCCTGAGCTTGTGATACAGACCAGATTAATTGGTTTTATTTGAAAAAGAGCAGAGAAGGAATTGTTGAGGCAGGGGGTCCATCCTTAAGTAGCTTAATCTACCGCATAACCTATAGTAGCTGAGCAAATCGGTGGTTGAACTTGTATGTATAGCTGCAAAAAAAATTTGCTTGTAAATTGAGATAATGAAATTAATCTTAATTTGTACTGGGTTAATGTAAGTGGAAAACACATCTTATAGTGTTTAAAACTCTGCTTACATGTCCAAAAATGAACAGCTTCTTGAACAATACTGGATCTTCAGTAAGACCCGTGGAGCAAAAATACAAACACTCTAGTGTGGTGCACTGACAGTGTGCCACTGACTCTAGTGTGTCAGTCAGGAGAGTCTTCACACCCCTAACCTCTGCCTGCAGTTTGCAGCCTGTACATATGCAAAACCTGTTTATGTCCATGAGATTGTTAAGTGAGCATTCTGGCACCTTGGGACAAGTAATTATACCTTTCAACAGCATGTTTTTTGACCAAGACCTTTAAAACCATGCCTCTGCTGTGTTAGGGATAGTTTATAAAACAAATTCTTGACGTTCTCCTGAGAATGGGTAAGTGAATGTTATCAACGTCCTGTGAAAAGGATCCAGTCTGTGGAACTTTTATGAATTGTTAGCTTTATTTGCTCTGACATATTTTCACAAAGGAACCTTTTGTGTTTGTTGCTCAGATAATCTCATCCTCTAAGGAAAAAAAAAAAACCACTGGCGTTCATTTTAATTCTTTAAAATAATTGATAGATTTTTTTTTAATAGTATCTATTTATTTATGGGTAGTACATAAAAGAGAATACAAAATATAGTACAGAAAATATCACTACTGAATAATAGTGCACTCTAGTCCAAGCCTAATCACTTCAGTAAGTCCTTCTGTGTTTGTATGTATTCCACTGAGGTTATTTGAATATTATGACGGAGGCTATGGGTTGAGTGTAAGCATCAGTTTATAACTCATATTCTGGTACGAATTGTTATGTTCCCCTGAACCTTACCAATGTTTCGATTGCCAGTAAAACTAGAAAAGTGCCCCTTCCTGGGTATGGAAACAAGCTAAGCTGAAATTCTCAACATCATCAGCGTAAGAGTTTTTCTATTTTATGATTTGTAGGGAGCGAATCATAAAATCATAGAATAGTTTGGGTTGGAAGGGACCTCTAGAGGTCATCTAGTCCAACCTCCCTGCTGTAGGGGGTTGATCTGCTGCTTCTCCTTTTTTAGGGATTGTGCTGTCACCAACCTGGAATAGACTTTGTTGAGGATCTTTTTGTGGGCTTCCTCTCAGGATTTCTGTGGCAGCTCACCCCAGAGTTTAGATGAGTGTTTTGGTCAGAATACTGGGTGCCTATCTTAAAGCTTAAAGCTGCAGTCCCAAGGTTCTGAACTGTACGTTCCTGTGTTTTGCAAGGATGTCTGCATTGCACAATGCAGCATGATGCAGCAGCATTTAAAGTAGTTGCAGCTGAGCTGGGTCCATAGCTGGAATTGAGAGATCCGTGCCAAGGTTGTGTGGAGAGGTAAGGTTTATCAGTTCAGGCAGGGTGCCATGCAGATATGCCTGTACCAGTTTTGATCTCTGAGGCAGTAGCTTTAACTGCTGCAGCATTGTGGTATGTGGAGAGCCTAATCCTTCTGGAGCCACTTTAAAGCTCTCTACAACGTTTTGCACCATAGAGGTTCCTGGAGTCTGTATAGATACATGCACATATATGCGTATATATATACACACACAGACTGCAGCTGCACATACCTGATTCTAACTGGGGCCTTTTTGTATTACTGTAGTAAAAGCTGTTAATAAAAAATAATTACATCTTTAATTTGTATTTCACAAAGATAGGCTTACTAGATGTTCTGAGAGTGGTGGATAGCTCAGAATAACACTCATAGTTTCAGCTCTTTTGGAAACGTTGAAGCTAGATGCAGGAGAAAATTAGAAAATACGTTTGTTTCCCTACTAGTTTTTTCCAGAACAGTATAATTCTTACGTTTTGTCCTGACTGCAAGTTGCTACTGAGAAATTAGTCTTCACGCCTTTGACTTAGTTGTCATCATTTTCTGTGGTACTTATAAAATCATCTATTTAAAGTTTACTTACTAGAAATCGTAACAGTTTAGTAATTATTTTGTTTTGTTTCCAACAATGAAGAAATACACATTGTGTATCTGAAATATATATATTTTAATGTAGTTGTTCAGTTCTTGAAAGTTAAATAGCTCCACTTTGGTTGATGATGATGTAATATTTTCTTCAGAAATGTACATTATTGCATACTGTGAATTGTCATTTTGGGGAGAGGTCATGCAGCCTCTGGCGCATGGTACTTGGGATATTCAGCATGACAGAATTTAGCTTAGGAAACACTGCTGGTGGCTGCTCAGTTTTAGCTGATTCCCTGAAGCACTGAGAATCAGTATTCTAATATCACACTCTTACTTACCTGTTTTCTGTTACTTGCTGCGACTACGGTGACTTAATTTCAGTAATTAGGACACTTTATGAAGTCAGACTATTTTAAGTTTCTGCTTAAAGAAAACGTTTGCAGATCACTTAGAATCTGGTTTTCCTAAAAGAACAAACATACTTAGATAGGGTTTGTCTGTCTTTCAAGTGTGAGGCTTTTAGAGGCATAATTTTATTTGTTCTGTAAATGGTCATACCTTACTGCAAGAAGAAATGCAACTTCACATTTTCCAAACCTGTTTTATGAGTGACTACAGCATAAAAATTATGGTTTGTTTTTCCTTGTTATAGTGAACTCTTCCGTTGAATCACAGAGAGTTGTCTGGTCAGCTTTTGAAACATAACACAATATTTAGATCACTGATGGTTATAGGTATACAGGAAGTACTTTTGTTAAGTAGAGCACTGGAAACTGAAAGACTATTCCTTTTTTCCCACCCACCTCTTTCAAGTTCTACAAGGATTTGCTAGACAGAAATGGAGAACAAGTATTTTTTTGTTGAAAGCAATAGTTGCAAATAAATTACCATTTTATTATTGTAGTAACTGTAGCTCTACTAATGTTCAAAGGGCCTCTCTTTTACTTACCACTTTACCTACCATAGTTACTCAGTAAATTGAAGAAGCTTATAATATAATTAAATGTAAATTGAAACAAGTGGCCACTGTAAATAACAGATTGGAAGAGAAGCTCTGAAAGTAACTGTGTAGGCCACACATATGCTTAGCTGGTTTGATCTAAGGCTTTAGGGTTTTGTTTCCTTGGGCTTTTTTTTCTATTTCCCCCCCAACCCCCCTTTGTGCTCCTTTGCTCTCTTTTTCTCCTTCTCTCTCCCCCTGCTCTCTCCTTTTCTCTCTCTTCTTGAAAGTTGGCTCAAGAACAGTTTGACTGAGTTGTTTCTTTTGTTTAAAATTAATGCTAGTCATTCAGAACCCATCTGATTTGTTACTAGTTACACACAAGATTAAAATTAAATACATTTATTGTAAGTTTTGAGCTTAAACTGAGTATATTCTCTAGTGTCACCCCCAGATGATTTTGTGAGTGTACAATGGCATATAAAATTAGAAGCAGAGTGCCGTTATCACACACTTGTGATAGTCTTACATAGAACCAAATATTTTTGTTGGCAGGTAACAGAGCAGAAAGAATATCATGTGTTAGAGTAGCAAGAGCTTAACAGATGTTTCAGTGAACTGAATTTTCAAATCCTTTTACATTAAGAAATGGCTAGGGTTTGTAGAAGTTCTGAGACTATTGGGTTACATTTCCTGTTGCAGCGCAAAGCCAGCCATTGTGCTAGAGTTTTAGCAGATGTGTTACCCCCTCTTAATGGTTGGGAATAAAACATTGGTTCTGTTGCTGAGATATAAATTAAAACTAGAAGAGCTCAACCTGTCAACTTTAAACAGCCAATTAGCTGCAGGAAGACCATTCTGCCCCTAATTTTTCACTGTGTAAGAGACTGAT